GGGCGGAGTGGGTGGTAAGGGAGGGGGTGGGGGCAGGGGGGGAGAAATGAACCAAGCCTTGTATGCACATATGAATAATAAAAGAAAAAAAAAGCAGCTATATGAAACTTATTTTTCTATTTTAATTTGTTCAACTTAAAACATCTTAAGTATTTTTCCCTCTTCTTGTTATTTTACAAGTCCTAAAGGAACATGGATTTCAAATCATTTAATCATTTAATGGTATTAGCAAACAAATCAAAGATGGGTAAGTGTGAGAAGTTTGGGATTTAGTTTCATTTTGATTTAGGCTTCTTCAGTTCACAGTCTTACTAACTTTATTAAAGCTAAAACTTTTGGTAGGATATTATGGCATATTAAGATCATTTGTGGTATACAAAGTCCTTTTTAGCAGATAAGGAAAGTTCTTTGGCCTGTAATGGATATATATTTAAAAAGTCTGTGAGGGGCAGAGGAAGAGATTATTAATCTTTTAAACCAGTGACACACATATTGGTGCAAATACAAAATACATAGAATTCCACCAAAGTCAGAAAGATGAAGCACTAAAAATCTTTCAACCCTACCTTTTCTTTAAAAGGAAACTGATTACTAAAAATCATTAGAATCCTCAGGCAAATAAGCATTGACAAGCACACATATACACAAACTTTCTAAAAGAATTAAACTCAAATTCCTCTTCAATTTTCACTGGACAAGGACTAGATTCCTATGATCTTTCACCTGACAGAATTTACATAAGAATCTAAATGCCATTAATCAAAACTCAAAATCTACCATCAAAGTGGACACAATAGACTATGGACAGTAAAAAATTTCTGTGAAAAGCTACCTTGCCAAAAAATCAAACACAGAATATAAAAAACAAAAACAGTTCATGGAGGGCCTTACTAGAAAAGCCAAGGGTGAGGCAGTAGAAGATCCAAGAATTCAGTGTAAACCACATGCATTATTAGGGACATGTTTTTCTTGGTCCAAGGATCCAGATGAGCAACATTTCATTAGACTCACAAGAATAAACTGCTAAAGAATAACTCAAAGACATCTAGATAACTAGTAGTGTTGTTATATTCTATGCAAAATCAGTACTGTTTATTTTATACAAAAGTCATCAACCAATAGATATATTTCATCTACTAAGGCAGAGCAAGAATTTTTATAGCAGAAGTAGCAGAAAAGGAAGAAAAGTAACTGAAGAGTTTCTTTTGGCAATGGCAAATCTTACGTCCATTTTTTTGAGCAAACTGATTGGCTGGCAGATAAAAGATATCAGTCTAGATAGGATATCTTTCAATATGACAACCAGAGCAATGCAAAAAAGCAATTTCAGTTGTTCATATTCTCCGGAGCTTTGAGTTTCATTTTTCAGGACATATACTATGTCAGATTGTCTCTGGGCTATACTTTCTAGTATCCTTCCATCAGTTTCTTAGTTAAGCCCAGTCTGCATCTTCACCTCAGGAGAACTTCTCACTCTCCTGTGCTCTTCTCAGCAGCCGTTTCAAAGCTCCCTTCACATCTTTGTTTCTCAGAGTGTAAATGAAAGGATTTAGAGTGGGAATTACCACGGTGTACAAAAGGGTGATGAACTTTCCTTGGCTGTGGGCATAGGAGCTGTTGGGCTGGATATAGACAGCTGTGATGGTGCCATAGAAAAGGGATACTACAAACAGGTGGGACCCACAAGTTCCAAGAGCTCTGTGCCAGGCTTCAGCTGACCTGATTCTAATCACTGCTTGAGCAATGTATCCATATGAGACCAGGATAAGTGCCAGGGGGAGGAGGAGAAGTACCAAGGAAGCCACGAAGAGCTGGACTTCATTGGCATGAATGTCCACACAGGCCAACTTGATCATGGCAGGCACTTCACAAATGAAGTGATAAATCCTATGATTCCCACAATGAGGAAGGTGAAGGGTGATGGTCCCCTGGATCAATGTGTTGCCCACTCCACTCAACCATGCCATTCCTGCAAGAAACTGGCAAAGTCGAGGGTGCATAACTGTGGCATAATGGAGTGGCCTGCAAACTGCGGCATAACGATCAAATGCCATGACAGCCAGGAGAACACATTCAGTGGATCCCAGTGCCAGAGACACATAGAGTTGAATGGCACAGCCTATGGGAGTAATTGTCTTGGCTGGACCATGAAGGTTCCACAGCAACTGGGGAACAATACTGGTAGTAAAGCAGAGGTTAACAAAGGAGAGATTGGTAAGAAAATAGTACATGGGTGTGTGGAGCATTGAATCTAGATAGGAAACCAGGATGATTGCTGTGTTGCCTACCAGCGTCAGGAGGTAAGAGATCAGCACAACTACAAAGAGTATCTTCTCAAGTTGTGGATGATCAGAGAAACCCACCAGTATGAAATCACCTCCTACACTCTCGTTATTCATCTTCATCACCCTACTCATGAAGAAAGAATGTAGGTGTTAGATAGTAGAATACAATTAAGATCAAACATATACTTTAGAGATATTGACTCTAAAGCGGAAAATGGGGTTATGCTATGTATGGAACATGGGGAGGAGAGAGAGAGAGACAGAGGCAGAGGATGCGACAGACAGAGGCAGAGCCTTGTATATTTCCAAGAGAAAAGTAAAACTGTTCAGAACTTAGAGAGAAATGTTAAAAGATATATTGATATAAAATAGAGCATACAAAAATGATCAATAATTAATGATTACTTAGGTCTTCCAAATTGACTTTTTTCTAGAAATCTACCATTTTTTATTCAACAGCATCTTATAAAATCTTAGAAATGAAGAAAACTGGAGGTGTTGTCAAAACACATTTGCTACATTTCCATCAGTTGCAAATACTAAAGGTAACAAGATCAGATATATCTTTGGAAAAACACAATTAATTCAGTACTTCACCTGACACATGCATTTGTCAGTATCATGCTAAGCATAAAATACCCTATCATCATATTTTAATTACTTATTGGATACCATCAACATATTAGTTTTCTTTTAATTTTTTTTCACAAGCAAAATATTTATTGGGTTCTCTCAAACTGTATTGTAACAGCCACTAAAACACATTTAGCATTAAATTTCCATTTATCTTGTGACATCATCAGAATTCACTGTTGATACTTATTCCTTGCTTAAGAGATGTATCGATACATCTTTTGAAGTAATTTTTTACATAATATAAAATTGAAAACCTAGAGCACTTTAACAGAATTCACAAAAAGCAGCACTCTTGTAAGTTGCAAGTAGTTTTTACGCCTTGCTCAAAAAATTTTTAGAATTGGGTATTTTATTTTTATATTAATTAAAGTAAGACTTTTCAAAGTGGTCACTTTTAATAGATTTTATTGAGGTTTCATTTGGAGAATAAATTATATTTTCCTTTTTATAGTTTCATGTTATATAGTAGAGAATTACAAGTCCATTTTATTCATCCTTACTTCATTTAATGTCTAAGAAATACTATTAGTTGATGTTCTAGATGGTAAAACAGTCTAGTGGTTTCCCATCTTTTGGCTTTTGATCTTCATTACTTGCCTATACATGGTCATCAGAGTCATACAAAAATAGGATGTTTAGTTTATCAAGATATATTTTTTTGTTTCATAAAATGCTTGCTTAATAAACCTTGTTATCATTTAATTCAAGACTCTGCACAAGTTTGGACCTCCTTTCTATTTTCAGAATCATCTCCCTACATTTGTAATTTCCTCCAACAAAATCAAAGTCAATGGCTCTTATTCAATTTTTTGCCAATCCTAATTGTCTTTCTATGAAAATTTATTTTAATTTCTCTTATCAAACTCTACTTACTTGTTGATATCTATTTCTGGATGAATATCTTCCAAGAATCACTGTAATCCACTCTACATAATACTTCTGAAGTATTCCATTTGTAACTATGTGTCAAGTATACATCAGGATCTATTTCACTGAGAACGCCAAGTTACCTAAAATGCAAGAAACTCTTAATGGGAAAAGATACTTGTTTTAAATCTCTTTCTTATTACCTTTAGCTGTAGGTCTATTTTTGAACATAGTAGGGAACAAATAAATGTATCTTAAATAATACTAATTGTATTAAACTACTTTCTCCCTATTTTCTTTTCTTGCCTAGCATAAGTTGTGTTTAAAATATATACTAAATGCATAGTACTATAACATATATGTTATAATGTTCATAAAATTACAATTATCTGTTTCAAAGGACACGTTTTTCCTTTACTTCATGCTCTTACCCATTACTCAGTGAACATCATTGGTTCTTAGAAATTTTATCAGACCGTGTTTCAAAATTTTGACTTTGTGAAATAGACTTTCCAGAAATGTTAGGAGGTTTTCTTAAAGTAACAGTTACATATTTGTATTTACAAGTTTTTCTTATATGGTCACCATGTCCATATGTACATAGTTAACTCAATGCATTTCCATTCATTCACTTGTCTCTTGCAAAATAAAACCCACGAGAATCACAACTCACTGCATTCCACAGCTTCAAATGCATATGTTTTAATCTGAATGGAATCTCTTAAATTTTCTACCTTTTTTGAGGTAATAGAATGATCCAGAGTTAGGGGAGGGAGAACAGTTACCATACATATGCATACATACAGAAACAGAAATGTTCTGCTCAATAAAATGTATGCATCAAAGGTATGAGTGCATCAGAAAGACTGCATATCTTCCACATTTCAACAAGTTGTGTAATTGGAAAGAATTTAAGAAAGTCAAGAGTCAGAAGGATAGTCCCAAAAATGTGGTGAAAGTACCCTTTATTTTATTTCTGCACTTTCCTATTTCCTGAATGGAAAGTTTTCAAAATTAAGAGACTTGTAAAAATATTAAACTCAAATATTATGCTCATAAAATATTAAAAGCTAGTTTCAGATATTATTCAGAAATAAAATAATTTAAGAGAAATTAGGCATAAAACATAGGTTAATTATTGGCTGATAGGTTTGAAGAAGGCTGACATGAACTGAAGAAAAAATGATTATACTTTCTCTTTATAGACAATTTGTAGTATATGTAGATGAAAGAGAAAAGATGTAGTCATTTCCTCACCTCTTAAAATTTTGTTTCTCCGCTCTTCTAATAAGTTTCATCGGCTGAAAAGATGAGGCTTTCCAGAAAAGTGATTCTAAAACTGAATCCCTCAATCCCAGATCAAATTTTGGGTGTGAGTGCTTGTTTCCAGAACCACAGATTATACTAGAAGTTGTTAGTGTAGTAGAAAATGATATCAGACCCAGATTGGGACTTGGGGAACCTGGTATTCCTAATAGTGCAATTAGTACCAGCACAAGAGTGACCAAGAGCAAAGGCCTCTGAGGGAAATCGTATCGGAAGAACTGCTTCAGAACTCTTAGATCTTTAATCTGAAGGTTTCCGGGCCCTTGATTCACATGCTAAGAGAAATCCTGAAGAAAGTCAAAGTTCTGAGTAGCTAGAATTATAGGTATGGGCCACTGGTGCCTAGCTAAATGTCTTCTCTTGAGTGTTTTTATTTTTTTCCTGCCTACTTTTGATCTCGTAATTAGCAGAGTGAGGTAAGCTGGTAATACAAAAAGTGACAACAGAGCAATATAGAAGCAACAGCAGCAGTAGGGAAGAAGAAGCAGTTGAGGAATTCCAGTTAAGGAGTTCTATGGCAGAAACTATGGAGAGGAGAGGGATGGAGATAATAAGAGTTGTGAAGAGCTGAAGGCTCTGTTCACTGAAAGAGTTCCAGGGAGCTACCAAGTTGTGGTAAGGAGCAAAGGTCTCAGATACCCTAGGCCTGAGAACTATAACAGTATCCAGTGTCAAGGACTGAGGATCTTAATACCCTAGTCCCAAGTACTGCAGCCCTTGTTGCAGTAGGGTTGAAGATCCTAGGTGTACAAGAGCAGCAGCATTAACAGATACCACTTGCTGCTCTTTGATGCTCTCTGCTGCTGTTGCTCACTTCTCTTAGAAGCCAAGCTTCATAATAGCTGCCTAGTGCCAGTTGGTTCCACTGTTGGTGAAAGTTCAAAGCAATAACCCTCCAAACTGAGTCCCTAGAGCCATAAGTCTCTGGCTTCCAAAGCTAAGAGCAATAGGCCCCTATCTTCCTGAACTTGGAGCTATAACCTACTAAGTCAGCAGTCTAGTCACTAAGTCTTGAGAACTCAAAAGTTCAAGATTTCCAGCAGTGGAAAAGCCAATCCTCACTTCCTCATGATTCCTATCCAGGTAAAGAAAAGGATCCTAGCAAGCCAACTAGCAAAAATATGATGCTACAATTAAGCTATAAATTCTTTTTGAATAGACAAAATTTTAACTGGACTTAGACAAAAAAAACCAGTTACAAATTATTACAATGCACATAAGAGCGAGAGAATTGTGGGAGTATAAATATAAACATGTTAAACATTTTAATATTTTTTCATAATTTATAGAGAATCAAAAATTTAAAGGTTCTTATTTAATTTTCTTTCCATTTTATATTTTATTCAGCAATGCTATTTATGTTACACATCAAGCAAAATTTTAAAAACTTTTAAAAAACAATTAGGAAGGCTATGACCAGGAAACAAAAAAAATGAGTGAAGACTAGAAAATGAATTCTCTTTCTAAACAAATTAGAAGAAGAAACAAAACACATAGATAATAGAAGTACAATATGAGCATTTTTATTCATTCCAGAAATGAGATCATACAATGAAATATTTCCTAAAATATTATTAGTAGAACTTCTCTTTTTGAATTGTCTGTTCATGCTTTTTGTACATTCATTTGTCAATATCCCTAATATTCACCTATAAAGAACTATACATTGAGAATCAGCTGTGGTCACTGTAGCACTTTTCTTTCTCTGTTTCATTCTTATTATGTAGACAACTAATCCCTTTTGATCAAATTAGTTCATGGTTTTCTTTATGATTTATGTCCTTAGAAATGAAGGTCAGTGTTTATCCTCAATTTAAAGGTCTTCATCTCTGCATTTTGTATTACAAATTATGTATGATTCATATGGAATTACATTTTAGTATAACATGGTATAGATATTTAACTAGTTATCCTAACTCTATTTGTTAGATACATTTTCCTTTTTCATATGTGGTGTCTCATTTCTTAACTACATTCCTACAACAAAACACACATTAGGGACATGTCTCTTTCTATGGTTTAAGTGAACAGTAGCACTCAAATCTGATAATTTTTACTTCAACAGTACTAATACCTCACTTGTTTTATGTTGATGATTAGGTTCACTCATTTAACAACTTATTAAGAATTTCTTATACTCTAGGCCCAGAAAGTAAGCTCAAGATATGTAATGGTGAATGAGAGAGACATTGTTCATTCCTTCATCAATTATAAAATATGAATTAATAGTATTATTTTTTGTTGGTGAGTTCTATAACAGATTTACCATTACCATATCTGTGTATTAATAC